CATTTGATTCAGGGAGGAAAGATCTACTGATTTCGATCGAAATCAGTAGAAAATGACAAGATTCTGCCCACCCAAATCAATTGACTCGAAAAATCATCACTAAAAAAAATCCACTCAGTAGATCTCAGCATCACAAATTTCTGATGTTGAGATCTACTGATTTCAATCGAAATCTGTAGATATCCTAGGGTTTGGGGACTGCTCAGTAGATCTGGGGGTTGCAAATTTGTGATGCTGAGATCTACTGAGCAAGGTCAAAACCTAGGGACATCTACTGATTTCAATCGAAATCAGTAGAAGTCAGGTACACAAAATTGTGATAGTGAGATCTACTGGCAGCACCTGTTTTTCCAGCATTTTGATTTGGGGTCGCGCACTTGGCAATGGCGATGATGGAAGTCAATTCAGGGCAGACAGATTCTTTTCTTGAATGGTATTATTTTGGAGTTGAAGGCCCTTCATTACCAAAGCCACTATTGAATCCTCCCATCACCCACTGTCAGTGTGACAGCCCCTTCATCCAAGGTGGCTGATGCACAATCGGACAGCGCCACATTGAGTCTACCTGGGTTGGGATCACCAAGCAAAGGTACATCAACTGAGCTCCATGCTTTGGAAACTCCAGTGGATGAGGTCTATGATCTCATAGCGGACAAGATCAAGGGTCCCTTAGATAATCATTGAGTAAAGGTTGATGTCTATACAATGAATGCCCAGAAAGAAATCTCAAACGTTCCTTACAGAAGGTTACACAATATCTGCAATATATTTATATATGACTTCAGGTGTTGGTGGTGCCCGCCAATATATTCATTCCATATTCCCAGTGCAGAAATCTCGCCGTGAGCACCTGAGCCAGCGTTTGGAGAAGCTGGTGCCAGAGCTTCCAACGGAGACCTACCAGATTGCCTATCCTTTGACTGCTTGCCTGTCAGGTTTCTTGACTTATATGAACCTTTTATTTCCATACTGGACTTGAACACACGCCTGGGTTCATGCCCTTGGTGGGGTGACCCTTTAAAGTGTTGGTGGGGCTATGGATGCAGTTGCAACCCAAAACCATTTCACCAGGACAAGAGGATGGTGCACCTTCAATGATCCTGCCAGTTGAGCTCTTTTCTTTTGAGAACAACTCATCACTGCGAGAACCTCCAAGTTTGGATGTTTCGCTGAAACTGTTGCAGCAGTTCAGTGTAGATGGCTTCCTGACTTCCATTGAGCCAATCTTCATCCGCCTACCGGACTGAATAAACCATGGGTGAAGTTGGTATTGAATTAAAAGCCCACACTCCATGGCTGCAATCAAGACCTGTATTTAAAAACACTGTAATTTGTTCCTTCCCTGCAGGAAAGCCACTTGACTCGCGCTGGTGCCATTGAGAATGGCAGCATCGGATTCTTGAAGGGCTGCGCCAGGCTGACCACTGCAGTAGCTGCTGTCCTTGCTTGTCATGAGCTCGGCGTGGAGGACTGGTTTTTGAAAAACAAATGCCATCTAAGGTTTTGGTGTGGCCTCATGTACAAGGGCAGCTGCACTGTTTTTCTTAGGGTCTTGTAAAGGTCCCTGTAAAGAAAAAAACAACACTCATTGTCATCCCATGTGGAGGTCCCTAGTCTTCTTATGCATGGGCTTCAATCCATCAAGTGCAAGTATGTGAAGCTAAGCGATACCCAGTCTGAGCTGTTACTTGGACATTCTTGGAAGGCCCCCCCATAAAATGGAACCTTGATAGTTAGCGGGTGTTCATCTTTGTGGGTCCCCTGAATGACCAAGTTGCTTGTTTGTGGAAGTGAGGTTTTGGAATATGAAGGCTTCAGCCAGGGGTGCCATTCGGAAGCAACCTTCAGCTATCTCTTGGGTGATCTCAATCACCAACCTTCAAGCATCCAGCAAGCACGTTGATTTTGCAAACCTGGTGAAAGCTTGGTTTCTTTCAAGCACTTAGCCATACAAATTGTGTTTTTTCAAAACTGTTTTGGGGTCAGTGCGATTCTGTCAATTGTGCCCAGACCTTTCTCTGTTGGGAAACAAAGGAACAACATTGCAGCCAAGCACGACAAGTTGGTGGGAGCAAAGCATCAAGCTGTTAAGACGCTCTTTGAGATTCCAGTGGAATGCAGAGATGAAATATTGGGTGTGGTGAGCTTCTATGGATGGGATGGTTTCTCAAAGACAATATTAATTGCATATTTCTTTGTTGGATGTAGATGCTGTTTGCTAAACAATCTAAAACATTGACACTTATATTTAATTTCTTTGACTACTAAGGCTGTCCATTTAGCGATGACTGCCTCAGTTCCAAGAAGATCCTTGCCAATTTCAATCACAAGAGTTCGCGCTTGCAAAAGGGCAGCCCGTGGCTTAACCGCCTGCGCAACACACCTGAGAGCCTTCTGCTGATGTTCCAAATGGTTGCTGCTCAGCATGAGCAAACTCCAATCAAGCAACGGCGCAAGCTGACACGTTCAGAGCTGGAAGAGAAGGCTACTGTCACAGCCTTGGCGTGTTCCTTGGCTTTGCTTCACCTGATTTTGTTGTGATTCCTACTGCTGGTGATGTGATTCCAAGTGCCTGCTGGTTTGATTCTAAGAGTTGAGCTGCTGAGGCTCTGTGGTTGAAGAGCTATCTTTGCAGATCCCAAATGTGGAGGCACCCTTGCAGCTCAAGTTTCTTGTTTATATTGAGCTTGATTTGCAAAATGAATCACCCAGGCCCCCCCACAATGCAGCCCCAAAAGGTTCTATTAAGCTAAATGATTTGATTTTGGATTCTGTGAAACTTATGATGCAGTTGCCTCATTTCAAATCAATGCAAGGTTCTTGCAACGGCTCCGGGAGGGTGACAGCAAAATTGAGATGGACCTCCTTGGTGCAGTTGAGGCCAAGTCGGATT